TGTTTCTGCTCAGTCCTCAAAGTATTGGCCTTGTCAAGTTCAATGAAGTATTCGTTTGAGTAACTCTTTGTTTCAGGTATTGTAATTGGTTTTCAGTTACTTACGGTGATTAATGAAAACAGGTATTTAATTATGATGAAAGAAATACTGAAATACTGGAAAGTCCCTGAGTAATCCTACTGCATTTTTTTTTCTTAAAAATGCAACTAATACAATATAAACCACAGTGGTCACTTTTTCTTTGAAGAAGTTGGTGCATGTTGAGCAGCATGACCATCCTGATCATGCTTCAGGCAGCATCCTGTCCTTTTTCTTACTTTTCTTCTTTTTTTCTTTTTTTTTCAACGCTACTTCCCTTTTTGGATGTGACTTCATTTCCTATGCAGTTACTACATACATGGGGAAACCCCAGGAATATACAAAGGCAGATATTTTCCATCAAACCTGATCAGTGAATGGCTTTTGATTGTATTGTGAATGGGCCAAAGGGCACGGAAAGGAAGGACTGCAATTTTGTACTCCTTCAGACTGATGAAAACTGTGAATGAACTTCTGAGTCAACTACCAATGTTCTGCTTGAGGCTCAGGGACTTTGTTGAATCAGTGCTCTATATCACCATTAATGAATTTTAGAAGTCCAGCTGCAAGGGGGGAGTATTAAATGCATAGTGCTAGGATCCAGAACAGCTACCACGATGAACAAAGGGAAATTAAGCTGGCTAACAGAAAATTCGGAAGCGAGAGGAAGAAGCAATAGCAATGGTTTTAGATGTGTTATGTAATTGTGCATTGCTGGAGCACTTGCTTCTGCTGCAGGGAGATCCACCTGCCAGGTCCTCTCGAGACAGAACTCAAAGGTGCTTCACCTGCCTCTAAACCAGAGATTTCATCAGCAGTGTAGGCGGAAAAAAGTATTCACCAGCATAGGTGTTGCAACTGTAGTTCTCTGCAGCAAGAATCATGGTCCGCACGGAAAATACAGAAATAGGGATCATCACCTCCTGCACTGTGAGGAAGTAGCACTGTGGCACAGCAGAGCTCTGGCTCTCATCCTTGTTCTCAGAAGACTTTGTGCAACTTTATGACTAAATAATACTCCTTTGCTAAAGCACTTGCACAGTGACCTTTGTAACACCTGCCCAGTAAAGGACTGATTCAGAAAACACACTTCACTCCAAGCCGAGCACTTCTATTCAATGCAATTTCCATTCTTGTTAGTGGTGGTAAATATCAAGCATAACTAGCTTCAGGAAGAGGGGCAGAGACAACCACAGGAATCTTAGTGAGCCTTTCCTGAGAAGAAAGGCTTATTAAAATGAGTCAGGCTTTCAGAATTCCATATTAAGTAGACAGAATGAATCTTTCTATAGAGGGCTGACCCAGACACTGCTGAAGCTCATCAGGAAGATAGGTGATAAACATGTATCCCATGGCTGCATTTCTATTTACAGACGTTTATTCCGTACCTTTCATAGAAGTGTGACAGTTGGCAAACTTAAATTCTTGGGGTTTTGTTGCTGTCTAATTAAGAAATAGTTAGGGGGAAAAAACATATACTTGCGGTATTCGTAACTGTAAGTAAGTTCTGTCTTTGGCCCTCTCAAGTCATTCAAGTTGCCTCAGGTAAGGTTCACAGTAGAGACTGTCTCACTGCCATAATACAGCTTAGACCAAATACCCAGACTGCCACACAAGGATGCGAAGAAGCTGAGACATTTTCCTTTTGCAGATCACAAATATGCATAGATTTTGCATACAGGGTCACAGAAGTCTAAGAAAATAAGAGGAAGAATTTGCTTGAAGGAAATC